TGTGTGTGTGTGTGTGTGTGTGTGTGTGTGTGTGTGTGTGTGTGTGTGTATGTATCAGTGTCAGAGTCTCACTGTCACCCAGATTGGAGTGCAGAGGCACGCTCATGGCCACCGCAGCCTTGGCTTGCTGGACTTAGACAATCCTTCTACCTCAGCCTTCCAAGTAGCTGGAACTACAAGCGGGCACCACCATGCCCAGCTAATTTTTTGACAGGGTCTCACCAAGTTGCCCAGGCTAGTCTTGAACCCCTGGGCTTAGGCAGTCTCTTGCCTCTCTGCCTCCTAGAGTGCTGGGATTACAGGCATGAGCCACTGCACCCAGCTGGCTCTGCATATTTTAAAACTCTTTGAATTTTCCAGGAAAACAACTCAGTCAGGGAAAAGCATCCTTGGGAAGAGCATCCTTGGGGAGTTGTGTTCCCAGGTGGACCTGTGCATTTATGTGCCTTTGCACACACTCTGTCACAAGTCTCTTTTTATTCTTCTCTCATACTTCCAGTAGGGCATTACACTGATTCTGTATATAGCTGCAGTGGGCTGAAGGATGGCCCTCAAAATACACATCTACCGAGAATCTGTGAATGCAACCTTATTTGGAAAAAGGGTCTTTGCAGATGCAGTTCATTAAGGATTTTAAGATGAGAGCATGCTGGATGGGGTTGGCCCAAAATCTAATAACAAGTGTCCCTAGAAGAGAAAGAGAGAAGCCCATGGGGGGAAATGGAGGCAGAGACTGGCCACAAGTCAGGGAACTCTTAGGGCTGCCAGAAGCTGCCAGTGGTGCGGACATGTCCTCCCCAGGAGCCCTAGGAAGGAACCATACCTTGGTTTTGGACTTCTGGTTGCCAAACTGTGAGACAATGAATGTCTGTTGTTTCCAACCCCCCAATCTATGTCAATTTGTTATGGCAGCCTCAGGACACTGGTACCATGAGTTATGGTATTCAAAGTAGTAAAGGCATCACCATATTTTGTTCCTCAAGCACCTGCTTGGTCTGAAAGAATGGGAGCTCACCACTGGTGTTGGGCTGCCTCCTGAAGCTTGGACAGAGTAGGCAGAGGCTGCTGTCAGATCCGGGTTCCCTCCTGTCCCTTGTGCAGGCAGACCCCTTATAGCCCACCGTGAATGTGGCTTGGCATGATCTTTCAGCTCCATGACCATCATCTTCAGGAGTGATGGGAATATCACGCACTTCAGTGGTGGGAACCAAGCATTTTCTTTTGTTTTGTTTTGAGTCAGGGTCTCATTCTGCCGCCCAGGCTATAGTGTAGACTAGGGGTCCTCAAACTTTTAAAACAGAGGGCCAGTTCACTGTCCCTCAGACCGTTGGAGGGGCGGACTATGGTTTTAAAAAAAAACTATGAGCCAGGCTCGGTGGCTCAGCCTGTAATCCCGTGCCTTTGGGAGGCTGAGATGAGTGGATTGCCTGAGCCCGCGGGTTCGAGACCCGCCCAGGCAACTTGGCAAGACCTCATCTCTACAATAAATCAAAAAAAGTCAGCTGGGCGTGATAGCACGCGCCTGTAGTTCCAGCTACTTGGAAGGCTGAGGCAGAAGGATCGCCGGAGCCCAGCAGGTCGAGGCTGCGGTGACTGGGAGCAGCCACTGCACTCCAGTCTGGGCAACAGAGTGAGACTCCGACTCAAAAAAAACCAAAAAAACAAAACTATGAACAAATTCCTATGCACACTGCACGTATCTTATTTTGAAGTGAAAAACAAAACGGGAACAAATACAATATTTAAAATGAAGAACAAGTAAAGTTAAATCAACAAACTTACTAGTATTTCAATGGGAACTATGGGCCTGCTTTTGGCTAATGAGATGGTCAATGTCCGGTTCCATATTTGTCACTGCTTGTCATAACAAGTGATGCAAGTATCCATCAGTTAGTCTAGATCTGGTTGGAGATTTCAGATGTTTCATTCTGGAAAAAGTCTGTTCACAGACATAAGTGCTGCCAAAGATGGTTGCCATTTTGAGTGCATGGTTCCTGAGATTACTGAGAGGAGGAGTCGAGAGACAGAGAGAAAGAGGGGAGTTGAAGAGTGCGACACACATTCCACACATGTGCACTGCGGGCCCAAACGAGTCGGCTGCTAGGCAGGACAGGCAGCGGCGGCAAAAACACCTGGTGGGCCAGATAAATGTCCTCAGCGGGCGGCATGTGGCCCGCAGGTCGTAGTTTGAGGACCCCTGGTGTAGACCCATGATCACAGCTCATCGTAGCCTCGATCTCCTGGGCTCAAGGGATCCTAATACCTCAGTCTCCTGAGTTGCTGCATGCTACCACGCCCGGCTAATTTTTTTGTTTTTATTTTTTTGAGACAGGGTCTCACTATGTTCCCTAGGCTGGTCTTGAACTCCTGGGCTCCAGTGACCCTCCCACCCTTGCCTCCCAAAATGGTGGGATTACAAGCATGAGCCACTGCGCATGGCTACACTTTATATTTTAGAGCAGTTTTAGGTTTACAGAAAATGGAACAGATAATACAGGGTGTTCCTATGCCTCCCCCTCATCCTGCCCAAGTTTTCTCTGTTATGAGCTTCTTGCACTGGCATGGTACATTTATTATAAATCAAATATTGGTACGTTGTTATTATTAACTAAAGTTCATAGTTTACATTGGGGTTCACTCTTGGGGTTGTACATGCTGTGGTTTGACGTATGTATGAGTACATGGGTCCACCATTATTGTACCACTGAGTAGTCTCACTGCCCTAAAGATATTGTGCTCTGCTGATTCATCCCTCACTCCAACCCCAGTATCTACTGGTCTTCTTACTGACTCCATAGTTCTGCCTTTTCAAGAAGTTCATCGAATTTCAATCTTTTTTTTTGTTTGAGTTTGAATCTTACTCCGTCGCCTGGGCTGGAGTGTAGTGGCATGCTCACGGCCACCCCAACATTGACCTGCTGGACTTAGATGATCCTTTTTCCAAGTGGCCGGAACTAGAGGTGCACGCTACAATGACTGGCTAATATTTTTGATTTATTGTAGAGATGAGGTCTCATCAAGTTGCCCAGGCTGGTCTTGAACTCCTGGGCTCAGGCAAACCCCTTGCCTCAGCCTCCCAAAGTGCTGGGATTACAGGCTTGAGCCACCGTATCCGGCCAAGTGTCTCATTTCTTTTTTCTTTTCTTTTTTTTTTTTAGTTGGAGTCTCACTCTGTCACCTAGGCTGGAGTGCAGTGGCATGCTTCTGGCCACCACAGCCACAACCTGCTGGGCTCAGGCGATCCTTCCACCTCAGCCTTCCAAG